TTGCTTCAAAACAAAAGAGTTGATTTATAGGCTGATTGATTTCAGAAATAGATGAGCAAAAACAGGTTCCATTTGTCTTGCCACACTTAAGTCTGATAAAGTACTAAAGGGCCTGCCATCTCATTTTAGATACCTCTTCAGGGGGTTGCATTTGAAATGTTGATTAAATGTACAAATCGCATTCCTGTTTTCTTGACTTTCCTGACTAGTGTGAGAAAGGGTTTCAAATGTACAAAGGCTGTGTTTCTTTTCTTGAACTGGAGCTGGACATTTTAGGGAGAAAAACCCAAAACAGTACTATTAGTACTCACAGGAAAGAAGCTGCTGATTCTGTAACTGCCATGCCTGCTCTTTCCTTTGCCCAGAAGTTCCTGGAGCTACATTTACATTGTGTTCTCCAAATTAAGTGTATGTACATTTCATAAATTATTAATCTTGTATCCCAGTCTTTCTATACCTGGTTTTTTATTAAATGAGAAATCGATTTACTAATAGATTGGAGCGCTCCATTAGAAATTGGCTTAACCACATCAGCTTTTTCTCTAGTTTCTTATCTATTACAAAACTTTATTACTGATAAACATGCTAACCAAAACAAAGTTCCACGTGTCTAGAAAGTATTGCATTGTGGTAGTTTTAAAACGTGCACAACATTCTTTGCTACATTATCAAGGGACAGGGTTTATGTGGCTGATTTGAAATGGACAAGATTTTGTGAGATTTGTAACCTATAGGTTAAAGCCTGGTGACAAAGGGACCCAATTTTCTCCTAGAACACTGAGCTTTCTTTCTTCTTTATTAAAATGATTTATTTATTTATGTATACAAGAACTGGAGTACAGGCCAGAGGATTTAATTTGATTGCTCTGAGTTGCCGCGCTGTGTGGAAACCCAAACTCTCACCCACATGGAGAGTCCTTGAGACTTCCTGAAGAGGGAAAGATGCCTCTCTAGCCCTCAGCTGTTCCAGCCACACTGGTACATGGTCAGCGCCAGCTAACTGTAACTATATAAGAAGCCCTTACACCAGGAATTTTGTTAGTTTCAACATACAGAAACCATAAGACATAAAAAAAATGTTGTTGTCTATAGTCATTATGTTTGAGGTCATTTCTTACACAATGATAACATAATGTACATGTGTACAAAATATGAGACTAAAGTAATGGGATTCATGATAAACATGCCAAAATTTAAATAGACAAGCATATGCCATTTCCCTCAATAGGTGGTAACCGGGGGAATTCATAATCATATATTCTTTGTCACATTGTGTCTCCCAACACTGTTCTGTAACTGTAGACATGGTATTCTCTCTGATTCCCTTAATTAAGGAAATAGATTAATTTTTCTTTATTTCGATCTTTATCTCCAAAAATTCTTAATTATTATTTAAAATTCTTAGGTTACTGAAGTACCTAAGCCCTATATCTCAGTATTCTATATCCATTATCAGTGTTGATTTCTGTATTAAAATTATAATAAAGCTCTAGAGATTGCAGCCAGATAAGATGAAAATGCAATTTTTCCATCCTTTCAATCCTAATTTTTATTTGAAGATAATTGTTATGAAGAGAGGTTATTGAGAGTAAAATAAAAGGAAGCTATGCCTAGTGGAGTCATTCTGTCAAATCCCTTGGAATGATACCTTTTAAAATTTAATAGTATTTTCAAATTTATAGTGAAACTGAAACAGAAGCAGCAGGGCTCACACTACCATGAGTCATGAATGTATTTAAAGGCCACAGGTATGCAGCCTACCAGGCCCAGCTGCCAAAGCATCCGCCTGGTTCAAGAAAGCTCAGCTGGCCCTGCAGGCCCAGTGTACCACCTGCAAACTTGCCTAGACATCAACTCCAGTCAGGTCTGGGTGTGCAGGCCTGGGCTTTCCATCTACTATAGCACTACATTGAAAATGGGTCAGTCTGACCACACCAATCAGATGGCGGAAGTGTAAACAAACGGCCAATCAGGCTTGAAAGGCAGGCTTGTAATTAAGACTCCTAGGGGCTGGAGTTACTCAGACTTTCCCAAATTCAGACCTCTTTGGCCTTCATCTGGAAACACTTTGCAGATACACTCGTGGGGAAGACTTGTCCAGACCTTAGGAGGAACTTCCTGGACCTTTATATATTTTTGAGACCTTCAAATTTGATTTCTATTTCAAACTACAGCCTAAACGCTACTCCTGCTTCTGGCTCCGCCTCCAACATCACCTGCTGACCTGAGCTGCTTCTCCAAAAGGCTTTTAGTTCTCAGAGAGCTGTAACACTGCTGTTTGAACTCTCGCACTGTCATGGTAACCTGTGTCCAGCTACCACGGAGAACTGACTGCCTCTTGTGATCCCCTAGACCCCCTTCTGCTGCTGTCGCCCCTAGCACTGTCCTGTCTGGTGTGTGGCACTGGCCAGCCTGGCCTTTGAGTAGGTCTTGCTGACTCATGGTTGCCATCAAGAGTTGAAGCTGGGTTTCAGGCGTCCGGTCCTGGTGGAAATGATGGCACCATCTTGAATGAGCAGCCTTTCTTTGGACTACTGTGCACTGCAGGCACTACTTGGGTGAGATTGCCAGTCATTTGTCATGTTAGAAACTCTCCCCCACCTCCTCTCGGCCCCACCCCAGCCCACCACCAAGTCTCTGCATGTTAAACATCCCAGTTGTTTAATCCTGAGCCTGAGCCGTTTCTTGTAATTGTGAAAACCTGGGTAGAACCCACAGAGACCTATCCCAACCGTGGTATTGTTTAAGTTTACTTTGTTTCAAAATCCCTTTTGAAAGGTATATTAACATTCTTTACCACTGGGATATGGCATATGAGATCCAGGAAAAAAAAAATATTTAATAAGCTGCATATTGTGCATTTTGATGATTTATTTAGTTTGTGATAATGCATTAATATATGTCCATCAACAAAATATAACAAGTATGAAAAGTCTTGTTTTTTATATATGTTTCATCTTTGTACCTTCCATCATTCTCCTAGTAGTTAATAGGTGTTTTAGTTGCTTCTTAGTTCTTCCAGAGATGTTTTATGCAGGTACTAGCCAAAAATATTTTTCTATACTTTTGGGGTACTTTTATACTAGTAGTGTCACTCTAAATACACATTTCTGCATCTTTTCTTTTCTTTTCTTTTTTTAAGTTAGTAGTTATGTCAGACATCTGCCCATGTCCATATATACAGATATTTATTTTTTTTTTACAGAAGTATATTTCATTGTATAAATACACTGTTATTTTACTAGCTTTCTATTGATGGATAATTAGTATGTCTCTAAGCATTTTGTTTACAGGATGCAATCCTAGAGATAGTGTAGAAGTCTACCTTTGTAATTATGGGAGCTATATTTAAAACCCTATTTGAGAAATGTCAATCATGATTGATGCTCATTATGTGGACAAGAGTAAATCAGACTACCAAGAAGCAGTTGCTTAATTTTCGATGGGCATGTAGAAAGGACCTGCTTTTGAAAGTTACACAGATTCTTAGGAGTCATCCCAATTCCTTCTTCAAATTTTTAATGTTAGATGTCCACTGAAGAGTGACTTCCCCAAGGACACACAGCTGGGTAGGTTAGATCTGAGACTTGTCACTTATCAGATAATAATTCACAGTCCTAAGAGCAGTGATGATAGTAGCTGTCATCCATTGTTCATAACTACCATTTTGTAAGACTGAATGAACCAAGCATCAAAGTAATACTTTTATTTATATTATTTATGCAACTAATGATAGAATCACAAATTCATGTGCATGCTAAAGTATTGTTCATGGACTGAATGAATGCGTATAACTCAATATATATATGTTCACTGCAAAGATGTAAGTTAATAAAAGTTAGAATAGCCATTTGTCTCTAACTCACTCTCAGTCAGTGGATTTTGAAACTATTACTGGGGAAGAATGATCTATAATATGTTGATATTGAAAGGATGCTATACTCTCATAACCACTAAGCCATGTTTCAGATCTCCTTTTACACTCCAGACAACCATTCTGTATTCCACATGTCTCCATTACAAGGTTAAATATTAATGATGCTATGGAAGAGACCATAGAGATCATGGGAGCAGTTGATTTGTTTTACAGATAAAGAAACAAAGGCAGAAACCAATGAAATGATGTCTTCCTTTGGGGCACACCTGTGTGTCTGGGCTGTAATGGAATGGGAAGGAAGGGGAGTTGACTGAACTTTATTGCAGAATAGGAGGAGCACCTTGGTGTGAAAGACTTACTATTGAGTACTATGAACAGTTAAAATGTCGAAGGGAATTTCCTTTCGAGCCTCACACTTATTCAGTTTTGTGGACCTGAGATGTCATCATTTTGGTTGATAAAAACACTTGCTCTTGAATGCTCTTAATTTAATAGAGAGAATAAAATGCAAAGATCAATATTTGGATACAGAGATCAATATTATGGACTGTGCTCCCTGTCATACCTCACACATTTGAGAATTAGTAGGCTTTGCATTAAAATTTCTAGGAATGATTTAAAAGTATTTCTGCTAGGATTGTTATAATTTCTCTTCACATATTTTTCAGAAACTCACCCTTCATTATTATGACAATGTTTGAAACTAGGGTCTTATTTACAAGTAAAGTGATATTTAGCATTGCTTCTTTGGTCTTATGTCAGTGCACAATATTCATTTTGTAGGCAGTTATTTCTTACTTTATTTTCCACCAAGGATTTGTCTTTTGCCAGAGTGCCAATTATTCACATTTTACATTGTAATCTGTCACACTTGAATCTGACCAATAACAGTGGAACAATTAACTGGTAGGGGATTCTTTTCACAATTATCACCTTCCTAAGAAATTGCCTACTTTAAGGGACTGTTCCAAAATATTTTACCAAAGAAGCATTTGCATCAATATTTCTTAGCTTACTTGTCTCCAGGCTCCAATATAAATACCTAAAATAAATAAAGCTCCAATTATGTAAAAAGTAAAAAATACCTTGCTTATCCTATTTTGTATTCCTTTTACATTTACAGATGTCATCCATACTGTAGGGCCAATAGCCAGAGGCCATATAAATGGTTCCCACAAGGAAGACCTTGCGAATTGCTATAAATCATCTCTGAAGCTGGTAAAGGAAAATAACATCCGATCAGTTGTAAGTACTTTCATGTTCCTTATTTCTTATTCTTGTTCAGCCTTTATGTTTTAGAAATCACTTTTGTTCAAAAAGGGGTAAAAAATCATTTCCAAAGTTCTAAAAACTCTAAGACCCTTGGTTATCATGACTCCATTATTTGGTATGCCATAAATATGCACATCATTGTTCATGATGTTCATGGCATTTACACTCAGGGTTCCAGAATTGGAACCATCTCATCTATTCTTTCCATTTTGTCATTCTATTTTGAAGAAAGTAAAGATGATATTGGTGGCCAACAGATTTAAAGAAGGAAAATAGCAAGTGTGTGTTTAATTAATTACTAGCAGTAGGTTTATGCATGTTTAAAGCTCAGTTTAATTCCTACTTGTGTGAGTATGCATGCACATACATGAATGTGTAGCTTCAGAAAGAACTCACTTGCAGAAGTCTCTCCCTGTGTATATGTTTTAAATTGAAAGTTGTTATTCTTTTAGATTTATTTTTTCTAAATTCATACTTTGCAGTTGGGTATACCACATCCTTTCTAAGTTTTGTCAATTTAGAAAGAAATAGTTCAGAAAATGTGTATCAAATCTATTTCCTTATTAGTAGGCTGAGTTGAAAGGAAGTCTCCTATAGCTGGATTTGCAGATATTTATTCACCTGCTTTTCTTTAGCTATGTGTCCTACGTTATTACAGCTCAATTACACCAGGAAAATAAAACTATGAGAAAAATGAGAGTGTAAATACCCCATAGTCAGTTAATTTGTGCAGAATCCCATGGGTCTTTCCTTGGAGATTATAACCTTGCTGAAATAGTGAGTCAGGAAGATAGTTAAACACTTGACTTCTTAGCTGGTTGAATAGAAAAACTGTGCTTGGGAATTCAAAAAGTTGGTGGTTATATTATTTGCATGAAGAAGCATTGAGAATCATGCATTTAGATAACTCTGAATGGTCACTGTACTTTTCATGCATGATTATAATTATGCAGTGCCTTTTTCAAGGTACATTGGTGAATTTGCTTAAAATAAGAAAACATTTGCAAGCCAATTAGATAGCCTTTTAAATCTTTGCATACTTATTAGCAGAGCTGAAGATTGTGTTTCATTCTGATTTTTATGAATTTTCTCTTTTCAATTAATAAGTAAGCCCCTTTTCTGTCTTAGAGAAGAAAGCTGAAGTTCAAACAGAATGAACCAAAGCAAACCGCTAAACCAGTTGGCTAATTTTGTTCTCTAGTGGAACAATCAAAACAGGTGTGTGTACATCAGGGAATAATTAAAAATTTGTCAATTTGGCATATTGATTTAAAAAGGCATGGGCTGAATTGCTTAGAAAAATGGATAGGTATAGAAGTTTCCAACTTGGGAAGTATGGATCTTAAGATCTGAAAAGAATTTGCTAATGAATTCACTGGCATTGATAATGATTTTTTAAACTAAAGAAAACCAGTAACAAGAAGAGGCTAGTCCCTTAGAAACAGTGTTAAAAAATAGCACCCATAATTTTTATAGGAAAAAAAAATGTCAGTAACTCATATGATCTTTATTTTAAAATAGTCCTATCTATTGACATAGATAGGATTCGCAACTGTTAGTTAAGTGATGGAAGAATTCTGAACTAGCTTACATTAACTTTTATCAGATACACTGCAGGTGAACTGAACCAATATTACAATTAACCTGATGATGATGTTGAAGAGTTAATTACATGTTACTTGGACAAAGTTAGCAGATGATGCTAAACTGAGTTTATCCCAATATTAGTTAATATAAATGGAGATGGAAAATACCAGCACAGTTTGAGCCAAATTAATTACTACTTACTTGTGTTGTTGGCTGATGTTGCATCAAATGTCTTACCTCTTATTCTTATAAAAAGAACTTCAATCACTTGCTCTCAGTCTCTCTAGGAGTGTCTCTTTCTCTCTATTCTACCCAGCCTCTCCTTCCCTGCTTCCTACCTCTTACTTTAGTTTCCTTTCTAGAACAAGTAAGCACTGTTTTATTTTATATAGGATGTCTTGACCTTAACCAACATTAAAAGAATAATAAGGCTAATTTATTTTTTCAAATTCTCATTATTTGGGGAAATGGAAAATTCTTAGATATGTGAAAATGCCTGGGTATGTTTTTACAGTATTGTCTTGCACTTTAAAAATTTACCACCATAAATTAGGAAAGATGGTTGGTATAAAGAACTAAATGAAAAAAAGAAAACTTAATTTAAATGTCTATACTTATCAAAGGAAATTTTTCAAACTCATTGTAGTGCCAGCAACGCACAGGGCTGGTTCTTGATGAATTTGAGAAACAGATAAAGGAGAAGCCTGGAGCCCTCAGTGGCTTTTCAGGCTTTTAAAGGTCTTTTTACACCATTTATAGTGAGGCAGGGCAGTCAAGGGGGCCTCCCATACCCAGTAAATCTTCACACTTTGGATTCCCCCTCTTGACATCTGCTGGTATCTTCCTAGCCGTTGCTCACTGCCCTGGGCTGTGTCCTGCCCTCGGTGTGATATTGCCCTTGTAGCTGTGACCTCCTCCACTCACCTGAGCATGATCACGCATGCTCACACCATGAGCCAGGTGTCTGCCATCAGGCACGCGTGCCCTGAGCCTATGCTCCCAAGCACCTTTGGTGGTCAAAGCCACAGGAGCTAGCCACAGGCTGGGGTGGGGCAAGGGTGGGGTAAAAGCCTGACCATCGTCATTTACCCTATACTCATTTTCCCATGTGGCTTAGTATTTGTTCTACCAGTTATCATTGGTTACTATAGAAAAGTTATGTCAATCTTTGTAGCCATACACAGTCGATTTACTAGTCATCTCATCTGACTAAATTGTGAGACTATTGCTGGAATCAGTTGAGAAAATTAATATAAGACAAATAGAAAAAAAACTGTAATTCTCTATGTAAAACATTGACATTATCATTCCAATTCTCTACAAAACTTCAGCACTATCATTGCAAGAAGAAGGTATTTTCATATTTTATCATTTGGAAAATTTTGGAGATTGGGATATCACTTGATATCTACCCTGAAAACTAGGATTCTAGACATTTATTTAATCATTTCATGCTTCTTTAGTCAGAAATTATTACAGTATTCACTCAGCATATTATTTTTATTTAGGCAATTAAAATCATTGTTAATGGTAGTAAGTAATAATATTATTATTTTTATTAATATTTTAAAAGATTTGTTTATACATACAGAAGTAGGGTATAGGCCAGAGGTGAGAGGACTCACCAGAGACAGAGTGGGGAGCAGAACAGGCAGATTGAATGAAACGTACTGCTGAGGGGAGCGGTGGATAGGTCAGGAGAGGTCTGCGTGTGTGTTACCTCCCTGGCCTGGGATAGAGCTCATGCTGTAGTGTCTGTGCTAGCTTAATAGTGCTGTGTTTTAACCCGTTGCACCACCAGGAAAAGTCCAGTAACAACTAATATTATCTTAATTGCACATATTAATGCACATATTAATGACATCATTAATATTAGGGACTCATGTACACAGAGCATAAGTGGTGTGTTGGATGAAGAGCAGTGTATAGTGGGTGTACTGTATTGGATTAAAGGGAGCTAATCCTGTCACCACATATAATTGTCTTAATAATTAGGAATAGCAGATTATAAAGTGATGTGGTAACTACTATAATGAGATTATGTTGATATATTAGTCCAAAATCTTAGTGACTTACCTTCAGGAATCCTGGCTAATTGACATTGCCTCATTTCATAGGTGTACTGTCCATAACTGATGACCTCCTCAACCAAACCAAAAAAAAAAAAAAGAATTTTGTGTAAAAAGCATGGAAGTCATATATATACCATCCCTTCACCCCTATTCCCCATTTCACTGGTCATAACTGTTCATATATTTCAGCCTAAATATAAGAGGGCTTGGAAAATGCCCATAAAAAAATGAAACGAGGGGTGCCACTTTTCTTTCAAATTTAAGCCAAAGATTTTAGGATTAAAACAGAGGAGTCCAGGGCCCTCCCTGGTGGCACAGTAGGTTAAAGCACAACACTAAGCAGCTAACGTCACTTAAGCATGATTTTGCCCAGTTCCTCTTGCCCCCCACCACGTGATGCAGCAGACCTCGCCTGACCCGCCCACTGCTCCCCTCAGCAGTGCACTTCCTGGATCTGCCTGTTCTGCTCCCCGCACTGTCTCTGATGAATCCTCTCACCACCTTAAACCTCTGGCCTGTACCCCAGTTCTATGCATAAATAAATAAATAAATAAATCTTTAAAACAAAAACAGAGGAGTACCTTCTTCAAAGGAAGATATTCTCCAAATTTTTGTTAGAGATAAAACACTGATGATATGTTTATATTCACTACATATTAATGAAACCCACTGTATTGTTACATTTTTAGATAGCATGCAAAACTTGGTAGTCATTGTGATTACTTTCCCATATACAATTAGTCTCAATCTTCTGATTATCCAGAAAAATTGACGTGGTCATCATGTCTGTTACATAATTTGAAAGCACACTCTCTCATCACTTAACTCTCCACCCATTGATGCCTGAGATTCAATAATTAATGAGTAATTTATGGTGATCAGACATTGTTCTTTTTCTGAAATTTCCCTCTAAAATGAAAATACTCCTGAGATCAGGAGATAATTAATTTCCTAGTAACTTAATATAAAGAAATTTAACAAATGACTTTTCACTTCGGCAATATACATTAGAGGATGATGAACTGTCTCATTCTGTGGAGAAGTATGAAAATGAAAGGAGGTTGAAAGAAACAGAAAGCTATGTGAGATGCAAATACATTTTACTGTCCTCTCAGTTTTGCAAAAAGGAGATTTGTTTTAAGCAGAGGAGAGGCAGAAATTATAGTCAAACATAATTACCTAGAAATAAGGCAGTTATATGGTAGCTGAATGTACTGTGGATAAATTTTTTTCACTGTGAAAAAATAAAACTAATATTCCTTTCATTAATTTAGTAGATAAAACTTCCATGTATTGCTCCTCTATATTCATTTT